CCCCCCCCCCATATGATATTTTACACTAGGCAGAGGTTTTATAAAAAATTTAAAAAAATGTATTAATGTTTTTAAAATGACCTCAAGAGGAAGAAATGATCATGGGATTATTTGGCTTTTTTATGTTCAGTCATGGGAAAATTTGTTATGAGGAAATTAGAAAATTATGATTTCTAGGTCTTGATGTCGTGGCTGTTTTCTTTTGCAAATACTCATCTTCACTATAGCCCAGCTCTAGAATATTTAATTTGGCTAGAAATGGATGTTTATGAGTGCAGATTGTTTTAAAACATTTTTTTAAATAAATCCCAGTGTAAGTTCAATTCACGCAGTCTACTGTAATATAATGAATTTACATGACCATTCAAATGATTTTTAGTCTCTTCTGCTCAGCAAGGCTGCATTTACTTAATGAAAAATACAGTAAAAAATTATGAAATATTATCACAATTTAAAATAACTGTTTTCTATATGAATATATATTCAAATGTAATTAATTGCTGTGATCAAAGCTGAATTTTCATCAGCATTCATCATTCCAGTCCTCAGTGTCACACATGATCCTTCATTTTATTTTTCAGGATTCACAGATGAATAGAAAGTTTAAAAGAACAGCATTTATTTGAAATGGAAATCCTTTGTAGCATAAATGTTTTTACAGTCACTTTAGATCAATGTAATGCATCCTTGCTAAATAAAAGTATTCATTTCTCACAAAATTCTTATTGACCTCAGTATCTTAAATAGTCTACGACTTTCGAATGACCATTAATAGAGAGAAATGGTTTAACTGAACCCGACTAACCAGCTGAGCCTTGACCTCCTGATGAAAACACCGATGCTAGATAAGCTTCTAATGGTCAATCTAAATATAAGGTGTGACAGTAGTTTACATTAGTGGACGGTTTGTGTTTGATTTGAACCTCTTGTGTCTCTTACATCAGTGAGGGTCAGACGTTTGTTTATAATATCGTGTAGTTGGATGTAAATCATGCTGACGTTCGTAATGAAGTCACTGGGGATTTTATGTACCTGCCAGATTTGACTCTGCACTTAATTTTGCACACGCAAGTGGCTTTGTTACACCATTCGAGTAACAAAGCCAGAATATATGAGTGGTGGCATCTGTTAGAGGCTTTGAGTCAGAAAAGATGTGAATCAGTGCGGCGGAAAGCTGTCTGTTCTTTCACGTCGCGCTGATGTTCCTTGTTGTGTAGGATTCTTTCTTATCTTCCTGACTCGTTTTTTTTTTTTTTAAGAGCCGCAGAACAACTAGACGTCGAGTGCCAGTCTGAAGTGAGGGAGTTTTATCACACGCATGCAGTGAAACCAAGCGGCAACCTCCCGCTCTCTCTCGTGAAGCCAACACGGAAGTGACTAAAACTGTAATTCATCGACTGGCCGCTAGAGGCTGGCTGCAAAAGAGAGTCGGTCCCATAGACTCCCCATGTTAAAATGCCCAACTTCACAGCAGAAAAAAACATGTTTACAGCCTGGTTCAAAAAATTATTTTGGTCTATATAGCTAATTTTGCCCTTCATGACAACTGTGAGGGCGGTGAATTTTTTTTTATAACTCATCCGTTTAAATTATATTAAGCCTTAAAGTTCTGCATAATTAAGGGCGTGGCCACTTGAGTGACAGGTGGATTGCCGCTGCTGTCACCACCGTCGAGCTAGGTGGGCGTGGCTTCAGCAACCAGCTCCCGCCTCTTTGCCCATCTTCGATTATCCGGGAGTGACGCGCTGCCAAGATGGTGACGGCCGCCTCCGCCCACTTTTGAGCTTCAGAAACGCTCTTCGGAAATCTACGGGTGACGTCACGGACACTACGTCCATGTTTTTACACAGTCTATGAGTGCAACACACCAGTCGTCATGACTACATGACTACAGCATCTGCATTCCAGAGAGACCATCTTTGACCCTATTACCCACAATTCTCTGCTTTAGCATGCTGATATTCTGTCGTTTGCGGCTTTGTTCACTCGTTCTGCCTTTGTTCGCTCCTTTCTTTCCAGTTCATATCCGCCACCCCGATTTATCTTTCCTCTCTCTCACTCTCTCTTTCTCTTTCTGTCTATGTAATATTCATCGCTGGGATGCATTGGGCAGCTGAAGCACAGATCTAATCCACTTTGAATAATTAAACCAGAGGAGGAGAAGAGAGAGAGAGAGAGGGAGGTGCAGAGAAATGACTTTATCAGAGTGATTACTTCTTCTCTCGTCTTCCCTCTCTCTTTCTCTGGCTTTGTTCTTGGCCGACACCTTCCTACCATCTCTCACGCTTCCATCGCTTTTATATTTATACGGATATATGTCTGCTCCGTACGCTGCTGTGCTGCCTACCTAGACAGTATTTTTAGGCCTCTCTGGCGCTCCCTGACGCGGAGGCTGGTCCAAAAGATAGGCAGCAGCTCTGTGCTGTCTTGTAAGATAACTCGTTTTTGTCGAATTCTAAAGCGGGCTCTCATTGTATCCTACACAGAAAAGGCAATCCCAGAATGCATTGCGGCGAGTCATGAATCACGCTGCATTCAGGTGCGATCGATGGTATTTCTGAGGTGTGAAACACCACGATTACTGAAGGGGAACCTCTGGATTTGAAGTTGGACGCGTGTCAGTTAGTGAATCATGACTGATGGAAAATGGTTGGAATGATTGTAATTCTAGTATTGTTTATTTGCTGTTATACTATTTATTAATATTTTGAATTAGCTTTTATTTTTGTATTTTTAATTTTAGTTTATGTTTGTCTTTTTGATTTGTGAATTTGTCATTTATTTATTTTTTATATTTCTATTATGCTTTAATTGATTATTTCTGTTTCAGTTTTAGAACTTATTTCAGTTAGTTGCCTAGACAACATTTCTAATAGTTTCATTAAATATATATATGTTTTATATATATATATATATATATATATATATATATACCATTATATTATCTATTAATATTTTGAATTAGCTTTATTTAAAAATTTGTAGTTTTATTTTTAGTTTGAATTTGAGTAATTTTGTTTTGTGAATGTCATTTTTTAAATATATTTTATAAATATGTCTATTAAGCTTTAGTTTATTTTTATTTCAATTAATTTGATTTCAGTTAGTTACCGAGGCAACATTTCTAAATTTGAGTTTTTCATTAAATATGTATATTATTTATATACTATTATGTATTCATATTTAGAAGTAGCTATTATTTTTATATTTGTAATTTTACTTTTTGCATGTTTTAGTAATTTTTTTAAAAATATGACTTTTTATTTTTTAAATATTGCTATAATGCTTTCATTTTTATTTTTTTTATTTTTTTAAATTCTAGTTTTAGTTGTAGAACTTATTTTATTTCAGTGAGTTGCCAAGGTGACATTTCTGGTTTTGCATTTAATATTTATATTTAATTTTAGATTTAATTCAATTAACAAATAATTATTTTAGTTTTAGTTAACATTAACAGCACGGATTGATAATGATAAAATACATAAGTTGTAATTGTGCATAATTAATTTATTCAAGTATTGTTTATTGTTGATGAAAAGTGACAGTAAATACTCCTCATTTTATTGCATTTTGAGACGACAAGCTTGTGCGACACAACTGCATTTACCAATTCATTTTCTGTGCCACTGCAAGAATAACAAAATACTCCAAGCATCAGTTGCACATCTAATGCTCACCCTTTGCTCTTCATTTTGTTGAATTAGCACTATAAAGCTTCTTGTCTTTGTCAGTTATTGAAAAAGAGAGCACCAAATATGGAATTGGCCATTGCATCCAATTATTTCACCGAGCAAACACACATTTCCAAACTTGTAGGCTGGAAGTTCCCAAAGGAGCCTAAAGGCAGCAAAAATTCATCCAAGACAGCACACAGAGCCTACAGAAATGTTGACTTTATAGTAATTCAGTTTCACCCAATAATTGTGTGTGCTGTGTATTTATGTTTTGAGTATCCAGTTTTCAGCTTAGCTTCATGTTAAATTGTTAGTAGAGTCTTGTGTTCTTCATATCAGTCACTGTTGAGGCTCTACTTTAGTTAGGATGCAGTCTTTGAAGACGCTCCCTCTGTAGACAGCACCGGCGGCTCACTAGGGAACAGATCCCCGTCTGAGGTCACTATAGAGAGCGTGTCGATGGGTAATCACACACTGAAGAGCTCTGACATCTAAACGACATTTGCTTTCCGTTTAATTTAACTCGGAAATATTTAAATGAGGCCATTTAATTTAAATAAATTGAATTTAAACATTTAAATGAGTTCAGCACACTGACTTGAGAATGATCGGTGGCTTTCTGATGGGCTTCTTGAAGTCGTATTACGGCTTATTTTCCATTTATTGCACAAAGCTGTTTTCTTCAGTGTTGAAAGTGGATTTTATGGCTCTTGTGCCGCTGGAAGGATTTGAATATGGTTGCTCTGCCCCGGCTTACCGGAACACATATTAATGTCTTACGGCGGGAGATGTGATATTTTAGGAGCAGGTATGGCATAGTTAAAGTAAAACCAATAATCTATGTGCAGCTTTTGCTGCAGTGTTAATAATTGTGTTTGTGCACAGAACCATTCAAAACTGGTAAGATTTAAAAAAATTTATTTAAAATAACTTTTCTTCTGCTCACCAAGGCTGCATTTATTTGATCAAACATACAGTACAAATTGTGAAATATTATTACAATTTAAAATAACTGTTTTCTATGTGAATATCTGTTAAACTGTAATGTATTTCTGTGATGCGCAGCTGTATTTTCAGCATCATTCCTCCAGTCTTCAGTGTCACATGATCTTCAGAAATCAGTATAATATGCTGATCTGCTGCTCAAGAAACATTTCTGATTATTATCAATGTTGAAAACACTTCATATTTTTGTAGAAACTGTGATGCATTTTATTTTTCAGAATTCTTTGATGAATAGAAAGTTCAAAAGAACAGCTTTTATTTGAAATATAAATATTTTGTAGCATTATAAATATCTTTACTGCCACTTTTGATCTATTTAATGCATCTTGCTGAACAAAAATATTACTTAAGTTCTTAAATCTTTTTAATCTTTTAAATGGTGCTATGTGCTCTTCTATGGATGATTGATTCATTATTTACTTTGACTGAAGGTGCTTCAGTTTGACTGACCAAAACGCTACCAAATCTCTATATCTTGGTACGGCCGTTGTTGTTTGGCCACATAAAGCTCCAGGTTTGGTTCTGCAGAAGCCCTTCAAAAAAAAGTATAGTTCCTGGTGGAATTTTTGGAGTGTTTTAATGAGCCAACATCCTTCCTTAAAACATCTCGTTGCTGGTTTCCTGTGCTGTGGTCACTCTTTACGCTAAATAAGCAGAAGCCAGGAAACCAGCGCTGTTTCCAAAAATACTGTCAGTTTACTCGTGAAATCAGAAGGACGTCAAGAGAGTTTCCTTCAGTTGAGGAGGAATGGCTGTGAAGACACCTGGAGGAATCCGGTGATTTTCAGCTCTTTATCTCATAAGTGCTCCGTCGCACCGCACTAACAGCTCTTTTCACCGCGTTTCGTTTAGCAGCATCATTCAGAGAGAGAGGTTATGAGTCCCATTCTTTATCAGATTGGAATAACTACATCCTCCTCTCTCTCTCTCTGTTCTCCGATCAGATTCTCTGTAACACTGTTTTTATGGTGTTTATACATAAATAGTTTCATAAGAGCTTTTCTGCAGCTGTTGAGTGTCATCTTCCCGTCTTCTGTCCTCCTGCATCCTCGGTGCTTGTTGATGTGAAGCGTCATGACTGTATCCAGCACACACTGTAAATGCATTACTGTTCAAAGTTCAGGTCAGAAAGACTTGAAATTAATACTTTTGTTCATTAAAGATGCATTCAATTGATCAAAAGTCACAGCAAAGACATTTATAATGTTACAAAAGATTTATATATTAAGAAAAACTACATTTTATTTATGTACATTTTTGTTCATTATCCATAGAATTATTTTTTAAATTAAATTTAAATAAAACATTTTTTTTTAAATGTGTGTATATATACACTACTATGCAAAAAGTTAATAAATAAAATAATATTTTTATTCAACAAGGATGCATTGAATTGATCGAAAGTGACTGTAAAGACATTTATAATTAAAAAAAAATAATTATATTTCAAATAAATGCGGTTCTTTTGAACCTTCTATTAATCTGTGAATCTTAAAAAAATAAAATGAATCATGGTTTACACAAATATTGGGCAGCACAACTGTTTTCAACATTGATAATAATCAGAAATGCTGATTACACACACACAGATACACACACACACACACACACACACACACAAACGCACACACAAACACACACACACACAAAAACGCTCACTCTCACACACACACACAC